ACATGGCTTTATGCAATTTATTTTACACAATTTGCTTTATTTACTTAGCATTTACAAATTTATTATTGTCTTGTGTATAAAATTTCTTTAAGATGCTTTTGAATTAGTTTTTCAAGTTTTGAAGCAATTTGTTATATTTAATTATTATATCTTTAATTTTACAAAATTCATTCTGATTTAGATGGTTGTTTGTATCTCTGCTACTTATAAAGCAAATATGCTTTATTAAGAATCACCTCTAACTTATTTTTAAAAGCAGTGTATACAAAAGTTTTAGTTTGAATTTCAAATTAAAAAATGACAAAACAAGTTATAACATAATAAATTTTGCCATGTGAATTCACAATATTAAAGTATAAGCAATTTTTTTCTTTACAGACACTAGACAGTGAGAAAATCTGTAATAAACTGCTCATAATTATTAATGCAATTACTAAAGATATTCTATTATACTTAAGAGAAATATCTTTTTATCAAAGTTTCCTGAGTTCAATGATATTAAAGGGACAGAAAGCTTCATTTTCTACACGAAAATTTTTAAACTCTAATTAAAAATATATATATTTTTAAAAATTCACATTATTTTATAAGAAAAATATATATAATTTGCACCAAATGCAATTTCCATAATCTTATTTCAACTTAACGGATTCATGCGAAAATCCAATGATATTTCAAAAATAAAATAAAAAAACTATTCTATATTAAATTGCAATTTAGTATTTCCAGCAAAACTAATATAAATCATGAAGGAAAAATCCTTTTAATAAATAAAATAAAATAATCTAGGAATGTAACTTACAAAATAATACAATTGATTCTTAAGAAAAAAAATATCATATAACTATTCAATTTCATTCAAATATATCAAAAAGAAACTATCTGGTTTCTAAAAACATCTTATAATTAATATTTTTTGATTTAAACTTCTTAAATCAAACTCAAACAATCATTTCATCTCTATTTGATATTTAATCACACTCTGATTTATTTATTACTACTATTTAATTTAATTTATACTAAGGAATATGTTTATAACAGCTTTTAAGTAATTTTTTGTTGGCATTTATTTCCAAACGTTAAAAAAATGTAAAACTTCAATTATTTCCTTAAAAGGAATTTATCGTATTACAAAAATGAAAATGTTACATAAAAAATTTTTTAATGGCTCACATGCCTGGAAAATTTCCCTTTATCATTAATAAATTGCTTAAAATTGTTACATTGTAACTATACAATCGTCATAAATAGCGTAAACAGTATTTTTACTTATTTGAAAACAATACGGTGAAGAGTATTTCAAAAGGTCATAAAATCTATAACAGAAATAGCTACATTAAACACATCATGAAAATTTGCACTGAATATAAAGCTTAGTGCATGACGAAACTTCAAAAATTAAATTTTGACAACATGCATTTCTACAAAATATACACTGAGAAGAAAAATTATGGTCGAAACTACCAGAATATTGTATAAATTGCCGTGTTTCTGTTCTACAGAAACATCGACAAGTAACGGTTAAATTTTACCAAAGAGCTCTGACTTAGGTGGAATTAACAATAAAATATAGTTTTATTTTCATGCTGTTTGGTAGTAAATGTAGAAAAATTAGTTAATTTTATCATGATACTTTAGAGCATGGCATAAAGAGCATTCATTCGGTTAAATTTAGTTTTCAATTTTGAATTTTTACTCATAGGAACTGTAATTTTGAAAACCAGAATTTCCGGTAAATCGCTACAATACGAGCAGAAAAATGGCGAACTGATTAATTTAAAAGCATTACATTTTGATTTCATTACCAAATTTATGCCTTCATTTTCACAAGAAATTTCATTACAATACAAGTATGTTAGTTTTACCGGAACTTTTTTTACCCTGTCGATTACAGTTCTAATGCATCTTATTAATTACTTGAACAATTCAATGTATTAAAAATGCAATATTGCTGCTTGTAAACAATGTTATCCAAGACTTAATGTTCAGTTTATTTAGCTGAATAAAAATTATAAGATACCTTCTTTCAATCCCTTCTCCTTTCTTTCTCTTCCATTTTAACTTTTAATCCTAAAAAAGAAAGTATATGTTAAAGTTTTTTTTGCAATTTCTCAGAGGAAACACTATTATTAATATTACGTATTAAATTTATAGTCGAAATTAATTGCTGATACTGAATATTTCAAATTTTGCTTCTTTTAGAGCAAAGTTATAATGCTCATATTACTTTTCATGGTGTAACTATAAATACAAGCATAAGACTGCATAATAACTATAATATAACTCGAACAATTTTAACATTTCTCATCCTTGTGGTTTTATTTTTTTGCTTATTTTGGTTATAAGTAAACATAACTAATTTCAGTTTTAAGCTTCAATGATCGGTGGTTTTAAATTTTATAAATCTGATATTTTTAGTTACTTATATTCAAAGGAGGTTTAGTCTGTACAATTTCACGGTATGATGTTGGCAATAGAGGCAGCATTGCGTACCGGTAGCCTTTACTTCCCAAAAAGACTCTCGTTTATCAATCTGAAGCTGTGTGAACTTCAAGAAGTCACGGGGGGGGGGGTTGAACACCTGTTCTTCATAATGACAGTTCAGTGTTTTAACTACTGAGCCAGTCTGGATCGTAAATAAATGCAAAAAAAAATAAATTAAATCTAAACAATTATTTATAATATATAAAGGCAGAAAATTGTTTCCTAATAGGATTTCAATTTTAAATGAAAAAAAAAAAAGAATTTTCAAAATCCCATAAATAATATATTTTTCAGACTCTCTCTCTGTGATTAAAATTATGCACAACACAATAATTTGTATTTAAACTGCATAATTTTGAATTGTTACCATGAAAAACAGCTTAATTTGTTGAGATGCCTATTTATATTTATTTTTAATCATTTAGAATCCTTTATTTTTCTAGTTAGCGCAGTATCAAACATTTAGCAGCATATTAAATTTTGAAATTACAGACAGATTTAAATTAAAAATGTGTGAATTGCGGACAATTTATTGAAATGTTGTTGAAGAGCTGCAAGGTCTAATATTTCATAGAAACGTTATGTGATTCTAAAATAATCTAATATAAACAAACGAATGCTCAGAAATTTTTAAAATAGTTTTTGGTAGAATAGAATTAGTAAGGTATTAAATTAGAATTAGAATTTGTTAAGGTATTAAAAGCAATAAGATTAAAATAAATATTAAGAAAGAATTTTTTTTGCTAAACTATTTATCTAAACTATTTCAACTATTACTAAAACTATTTCACTAAACTATACCTCTGAAAATATTTATTTTTATCTTTAAAAATTTGAATAATTTGGAATATTTTAAGTTGAATCAAACTCTGTTAAGAAAATAAAATATTTCAATTCTTCGAAAGTTGTATAATTCTATATAAGCATGAAAATATGATAATAATTTTATTTCATATGAGAGAAAATGGTCATCTATTATTTCACTTGTATTCCATTTTGTTTGTTCCGGATATGTGAAGCCCCTTAGCAAATAAATAATACAAATATAATATTTAACCAATATATCATAATATTTTATCATTCCTGAATATCAAGGTTTAATAATCATTGATTTGTTAAACATTTCACTATATAACCAATTAAAATCATCTTAATATTAATAAAATTTAATTATCCTCTTTAATTGTGGGGTAAAATTTAACTTAAAAAACATGGAAGAAAGATTTAATGGCATGATGCGAGTGCAAATTATTAAATGAATATTTGAAAATGTAACTTTTTCTCAATAATGTGTTGTCCTAAATGTAATGCATTATATCCAAAAAAAACTAAATTGCTTTTTTTATTTACTTTCCGTACATATTTTTATTCTGAATAAAAATCAACATTATATTTTTATTCCAATAAAAATCAAAAGATTATTAATGTACATTAAAGTACTATTATATTGACAAGTATACTATGTCAGTATGTTAGTCTTATTTTAGTTTCTTTCTTAAACAAAAATACACAAATTTTAACATGTGATTGAGAATAATCCAGATATTATCTGTTGAATATTAATAGTTTTATTTCTTTGATTTATTTAATAATGATGAATAAAGATTGTAATCATTAACTAAACATTATATTGTCATAGTTTTTAGCCTCAGCTTTATGCCGCGTCTTCAATTTGTGGAAAATAAAATTATAGGTTTTGTTTCATAACTCCTTATTTTGGCCACATTTTAATTTAATAATTGATAAGTATGTAAATTTAGTGATTCATATACATTATATTATTTTTTATTTGAACTTTTAATTATTGAAAATTTAAAAAAACCTAGGTTTAAATAGCGTTACAGCCCACGCTACAAAATTCTACGAAGGGCAGGATACTATTGTAATATATATTGTAAAATGAAATTATCATTAATTAAGCATTATTATATCACGGTTTTTAGACTTAACTTTCTGTCGACATTTTCCATTTACGGAAAAAAACATTATAGATTTTGTTTCATAACTCCTTTTTCCTGCCACTTTTTAATTTAATTGATAAGTAAAAATTAAATTCAGAGATTCGAATACCTTATATTAGCTTTGGTTTATTTTTTATCTGAACTCTTAATTATTGAAAAATTAAAAAACCTGGATTTACATAGCGTTATAGCCCACACCACAAAATTCTGCGAAGGGCAGTGCATTTGTTTTCGGATACTATTGTAATAAATATTGTAAAAACAAATTATCATTAACTATACATTATTATTCATTGTTTCTAAACTTAACTTTCTGCTGACATTTTCCATTTATAGAAAAAAACATTACAGATTTTGTTTCATAACTTCTTTCTCCTGCCACTTTTTAATTTAATTGATAAGTAAAACTTAAATTTAGTGATTCGAATACCTTATATTAGCTTTGGTTTATTTTTTACTTGAACTCTTAATTATTGAAAAATTAAAAAACCTGGATTTACATAGCGTTATAGCCCACGCCACAAAATTCTACGAAGGGCAATGACTTACCTGGATTTTTTTTCGGATACTTTTTTTATGCATTCATGTTCTTTTGTGAATCTCCCTTCTTTTCTTGAAGGAAAAAAAAAATCTTAAGGACGTGTATGGGGCATAAGGCCATCTTGAATGGTGAAAGCAACGCCCCTGGCACGCGTTCACTCAGGGTTGCTCCACTTCCTTATTGTTGCCATCGGACGTCGTAAAATGTCGCTATAAAAAGACAAAAATGAACCCTAAGATTTATAAGTCATTCAGGCAAGCCTTAAATTTTTTTTTACCGATTTTAGTGTCGTTATTTGCCAATATAATAATTTCTTTAGTTTAACGTAGAACATGATGGGGATTTCCTTCATCTGCTTAAGTTATTTTGTGCATTTTCTTACACCTGAAAGTTATAAAACCCATCGCAGGTGAAAAGTGTTTTATGGTAAGTTATGGGTTTATTCCATAATTTATGAAAGTTCATCGCCCGGTAATAAATGTATAGTTATTAATGGAAGAAATGATAAAACTTTTCTTGCATTAATATCGCTTTTCCTGGAGATTATGTTCAATTTTTTTTCTCTTTCAAACTAAGTTTTCGTTCTTTAAAATATAATAAACTTGTCGTAAAGTGAGTTACGATATTTTCTCGAAAGAAACTGCAAGCTGGAATAGGCTTTAACCAACAAATAGTTATTTGACCAAAAAAATAACTAAACAAAAATTCACTTTTTATAAATCATTTTAAGAGTGTTTCATCTTTATGTACGAATGTTGCAAGCGTTAACAAACGTTTTCATAAACTTCTTGAAAACTTTAAAAATATTTTTAATACATTTTAAATGTACATTAAATCGTACACATCAAACATATTGCTATAATTGATCAGATTTAAAGTTTAAAATCAAATTAAAAAGCTTATTTCAAACTTTCCTTCCATCAGCAATATTTTTTATAAGATTATGCTAATTTTTTTGTATGAAATATGTGTTTATTTTAAATTGAGTTGATCTTCCTTTTTCAGAAAAAAATCAGATAAAGAAAATACACGACTGTCTATATCCATTTTTCTGCCCTTTCAAAAACAAAGACATTCTTTTGAATTATTTATAACATATTTAGGATGCATTTTTCATACAGATTTAGAAATTGTTATTGCACGTAAAAAGAATCTTCTCGCAAAAGGATAAGTAAACTTAAATGAAAGTATTTTCTTAATTCATTTTAAATATAAATTAAATTCTATGCTTCCATATTAAGTATATGGCAATATTAAATTTTTGATATTGTTATATATTAAATAATTATCTTAACATCTCAACAAAGGTTTTACGTTGTAAGCGAGGAATTTAGGATGATTGCATGTAAGTGGTTGTACATTTCTACCCTGATAATAGGTCTGAAATTGTACGTATAATTTAAATCTAATATATGAAGTGTGAAAAAAGGTATAACAAAAAAAAGAAAGAAAAAACAAGGTCAACATTTAAAAATTAAATATACCAAAAATTAAAGATCAAATTACTCTATTTTTTGTAAGTATAAGATTATTCTTTCGATAAAGAAATTTAGATTTATACACGTTTACATATTCAATCATAAATTTTGCCCCTATAAATGATAATTGTGAAATATTTCTAATTTTGTATTATTTATAAGCTGTCATTTAATCTTTAAATTTGAAGCGTGCACTAAAGTCCTAAAAACTTAAAATAGGAAAAGATAAATGAGTAATGTTTTAAAACAGCATAAAAAAAATTTGAAGAGTTTTTATGTAATTTTATGTGGAATTAATAAGCTAATTATTCTTATGTAAAACTAATTAACTAACATTTTATCCAAAGTTAATTAGCGAAGGGGAGCTAGTTCCAATGAAAGTATTTTATTGTATATTTTAGAATTAAAGTGATATCAGTTTATATAGCGCTTATAAATAAATACTAATAGATAAATAAATGTTTTGTACTTTCAAATATTGCGAACAAAATTTTAAGAAAAGCAAGTTAAGAGATAGCCTATCTTTAGTAAGTATTACGTTATAATTAAGCATATAAAATGCAATATTTTAGTCGAATAAATATAATTTAATTTTAAATGTATGATTTTTTATTTAAAAAAGTCTCAAATGCGGAAACTCTTCACAGAGTGAATCATGATATTTTTAAAATGTAACACAATATCAAGCAAATATGCCAGCAACATTAATGAAGTGTTAAACTAAACCTTGAATCAATTGAAGTTGAAACATTATCAAGTCATCGCTTTAAGATTGAAGCAAAGTTGCGCATTATTGTGGTTCATGACACTTAAAAAAATACAGGTTTACTTCGAGTTCATGTTTTAATGCAATTTCAAAAACTGTTATTATAAAATCGGAAAAAAATACATCTAACGAATAATTATTAAAGAGAGATATTATATTTTATTTTACTGAAATTCTTTAATTCAAATTCTTTATAATTTATCAACTATTTCTCAATAAACACGATAAAAATTTGATAAAATTTAAAATTTTTTTTTTAAATAAATGGAATTTTGTAATATTATATAAGGTTGCCTAAAATGTAAAGCAAAATAATTTCTTTCTTTGCATCGTTTTAAATGATATGCCTTTTGTATTAAATTTTTATTTCTGAATAATTTTGATCAGATAAATTATAGAACTAGTTTGTATTGTTGAGGGATGAATGAGTTTTTGGGTGTTTAGTTAAGTGGATCACTTCTTGAAGCAGAATCCTTATAACTTCAATAGTAAAAAGTGCTACTAACTTCAATAGTTAAAAGTGGTAGTGCTTTCGAAAAGAGAATTACTAAAACACTTAAAAAATCATCCCAATTTTGTTCATTTGTTTTTCGAAAAACTATTTAAACTAGAGCGTTCTTTAACTTGATGTAAATAATGTAAGGATTATATATACCGAAATTAAGATTTATTCGAGCATTATTTTTAGAGAAAATGTTATTTTAGTGGTGAAATTTTCAGTTTTGAGAAAAAGCCATCAAAAGGAATAGCGAGTTGCGCTAACAGAAAAAAACATGAAAATACTGCTATGTGACTAGAAAAAAAATAATTTTAGAATCTATAGAGTTAGTTCTTTATTATAGAGGGAAAATTAAAATTTGTAATTTCAGTTTTAAGACACGGGAAGTTATGTAATTCGATTCCATCAAGGAACAATATATGATATTTAGTTGAAACTTGTTTGATGAAATATTATATAAGCCGATGCTGTTAGCATTATAAACTCAAAGTTGAAAAAAATATATATATTTTCTTTAATGATGCTACGCATTTTTAAGAAATGTATAAGCTCTTATTTTTAAGATTAAGTTTCTAATTTTTTAACAATTTGGAAAAATATGCTTGCATTTCTTTTTCAGTATTTATTTTTTCAAAATTTTTAACACCACTCATCAAAATAGCACCATAATATTTATGAGTTATCAATATTTGCTTAATAAAAGATTAATTTTCTGTATCATTATATTGTGACGTAATCAATCACTTCATTTTTTTTGGATAATTTTTTAAGAAGTTTCATATAGATAATAAACGAAATCTGCAAGTTAATAATCGTAGTACAGTTAAAAATGATAATTCAGTAAATGAAAGAAAAATATCTTTCCAAATAACTCTTTTTCATTACAAATGAGATTGATCTTTTCTTTATAAGAAAAGTTATATCCAGAGATTCAAGTCGCAAGTTATGGAACAAACGAAACTTCTTCATTTTGATGGCACAGCAGCGCCACCTGTCATCCTGATTTTTGCATTTTAATGCTAAGTTTTTATTTTCACAAAGAAAAGGATTGAAATAATTATTATCTTTTTTTTCGGTTCTCATTTTAGTCTTTAATTTATATCTATTTCGCCATAGATAATTACTAATTTATTTATCTATTTTTTAAAATATTTTTAAGCAAATAACAGGAAAAAAAAATATTTTATTTAAATTCCGTTTCTGATTTTAAGTTCACGAATTCCACAGTTCAAATTGCTTGCCAACTTTGAAAAAAAAAAGAAAAAGAGACTTTTTTTCAAAAATATTTATTTAAATAAAAAGGAAAAACTTCTCTCGAGAAATTTAAACTATCACTTCTCCCGTTTGTTATGTATCATAGAAATTTTAAAGGAAAATTTCATGCAAACTATCTCCAAATAGTTTAAAAAATTCCTTTTTAAAATAATCCTTCAATTTTTCAGTTTTGACAAGATATACATCAAAACATATTGCGGCAGTATTTAAATGTATTTCTAATCAATGTTTTAACACGAAACATCAGATATCACTAGATTGCGAGATATTTGCTTCCGTTTTAAAGTTAATATTTGCAGTAAATTTATCTACAGTTTTCTGGATAAACATTTCGAAATAGTGAGAAAATGTATTTATTTCCTAAAAAGCATTTTGCTATTTTGTTTCTTTATAGTTCAAAAATTTACAGTTAAAAAAAAATGAAACTTAAAACAATCTTAAACTTCTTGTTTTTTAAGAATGCGATTTTTTTTTTCGCAAATTGAATTATGTCTCCAAAAATTTCATGTATCCTTCTTAGAAACTATATCTTATTTAGACATATTTTTATACAAAATTCATGCTTTTATTGTTAAAGCAAATCTGCGAATTTTTTTTCTAAATTTAGTTTAAAGCAATTTTCTAATTTACAAAGAAATTTTTATCTATAGATATTCTATTGCTGGTAATATAAAAACACTGTATCAAGTGATATTTCAAGGAAACGGCTTTGTTTTTTCCAGTTTATTTTCTTACTGGTTGAATGATAAATGAAGTGTTGTTAGAATATTTTAAATTACTAATAATGAAACATTAATTAGAGAAAATATCTAATGTACAGTTATTATTTTATCGCTACTGTTTAGATAAAATACTTCGCGGATGAAAAAAAGTACTGGTGTTCTCTTAAAAATCATATAGTTCTTTCTAATATAATTTTTATTATACATACTGCATCAGAAACCTTTTTTTAGCTTTTATTTTATTTAGTATTTTATTTCATTTTCAAGTTTTAACAATGCGCATCTAATCAAAGAATTTGGCACATAGTTCTGGTTCATTCGACAGCAATATTTTGCTTACAAAGAATCAATATAAATTTTTTTTGTTCGCGTTAGTTTATCTGAATTTATAATTCATTAAAATAGAATTTTAAGTTGAGAAAAAAAAATGGGACTTTTCGATACCTTCTCCTTTTTGCTTTTAATTAAAGCTCAAAAGTCTCAAAAGCTGCTCTTAACAATGTTGTGAGTAAAGTGATAATGCCATAGTTGAACAAATCGCACCTGGTTGGTAAACCAAGTTTATAATTGGAAATTTTAACCTCAAAGATGCACAGCATTCCAGTCGAGATTAAAGATGAGCTATTCAACTGAATTTTGAATCAAAATTCTCGTAAAACGGCAAGGTGACAGGAAAAGAAAATAGAATGCCTCCACACTTGAAACTTTTAAGAATTAAAAAAAAGAAAAAAAGAGGGAATTTTGTTGTCTACCCAAAAGTTACTTATCTTTAACTATTATCAAGTTTTCTTAATCGGAAAAATTATTGAATTACAAACAATATTGACTTAAGCAAGTCTTAAATCATATAATTCAAAGTACAGTTTTAATACCGAAATTTGGAGCTTGAAAAAAAAATAGTAAATCTCATTTTTAATTGCAAACTTGTAACTTAATTATAATTTTAGCATAAAAGCTAATGTAAATGTAGGAAATCATTTTACCTGAACATTTATTTCTCTGAAAAGCCTATTTATTTCCTTCAAGTCAAATATTCTGAAAAGAAAATGTCCCTGATTAATTAAGTAGTATAATATTATTGAAGAGTTACTAAAAAAAAAAAAAAATAGAAAACATCTATTATAATTGTCTTTTTACATGCAACATTTCAGTAATAGTTATTTTATTTACTTGTTAGAACTTCTAATTTACCATTAAATCTATAGAAGATAATTACATGTAATAAGGAGTTCTACGAAATACTTTAAAAGAATTGATTTTTCCTTCCTCTACAAAATACTTTCCTACGAGTTTTATGACCGCTAGAAAATGAACAAGTAATTTAAGGGCATTTTCAGAACAAAATAGAATTCCCTAAATAAAACCAATATTTTTTTTTTCTTTCTTTATTGATAGCCAATATTAATGGGGTGGGATGTTACTTTATCGTTAATGTGTGAGGCAAAGTAAGAAACCCGCCAATCAGACGACAGTCACTAACAAACTAAAGTAAAAAATAATGAAATAAAAGAATAGGTGAAACAGGGGGGAAAGCTGTTATAGTGCCCCGGAATCGACCTTGCATCTTTTCCCTACCCCCTTTGGGGTCGAAAGGAGGACGTTGATTGGACGAAAGAAGAGCTTGATTTCCACCAGCCAACCAGTTTTATCGAAAAGAGTCGGCTACATTCTAGCTGTAGGCACTAAGTGAAATCGGATTGTAAATTCGACAGGGTTACTTATTTAAGTATTTATCGCCTTTTTGCAAATTATGACGATGAATCGTTTCCATATAAGTTTTTTGACTATACATTGCTTGTTTTTAATTTATTAAATTAATTAACACAATTTAGAATTTTTGTAAAGCATGATATCTTATTTTGCTACTTAATCATAACATTTTTATTTTTATCGAATTCGACAGGGTTACTATTTTAAGTATTTATCGCCTTTTTGAAAATTATGACGATAAATCGTTTCTATATATGTTTCAGACAATAGTTTTTAATTTATTAAATTAATTAACACAATTTAGAATTTTTGTAAAGTATGATAATTTATTTTGCTAATTAATCATAACATTTTTATTTTTATCAAATTCGACAGGGTTACTAATTTAAGTATTTATCGCCTTTTTGAAAATTATGACGATGAATCGTTTACATATATGTTTCTGACAACTGTTCTTAATTTATTAAATTAATTAACACAATTTAGAATTAACGATAATTTATTTTGCTAATTGTTTATGGCATTTTAATTTTTATCAAATAAATTTGAAGAAATAAAATAATTTAGGCATCTTTACAATGTTTTCTCTAACTAATCAATTAATTATTATCCTATGAATCAATAACAATTTTCCGTTAATCTAACTTAATTGATTTCGTTAAAATAATTAATTTCAAAATATAGTTTATTATAAAATAAGTAAAAGAATTCCAAATATTATTAAAATGAAAATCAAATTTGAGTATAATTACAGAAATATTTCGTTCTCTAATTAATTTTCCCTCAAGAAATAATTTTTCTCGTAATTTTTTTTGTCATTTTTTTAGTTGAGCATAATTAAAATACAGACTATTATAATTTATAAAATATAATTGAAATAATATTTATCTTTTTAACGAAAGAAATAAAAGTCGCATATTATTTATATAAATAAAATAATTTTCATTACTAAATTTTAAAGTATAGAGAAACGTTTTCCCTATTAAATTTCTTTGTACACATAAATCAATGACATTGATATTTTTTATTTGTGTTGTGCGTTTTTATTAAATGTAAACACTTATCATTTCTAAAATATATTCTTTTTTAAATTAAATTAAATTCATATATTATTTCAATAACAATAAATTTTGAGTGTAAATACAAAACTATTTGTTTATTGAATTCCTTATGTGAAATAACTCAGGATTAGTTATTCAGTTTTTGAGTTTAATTAAGTTTATATCACTAATTGTTTCTTACATATAGATTGTCCCTTTTATTAAATAAATAAATTATTCTCTTATTACTTCAGTAAGAATAAAATTTAAGTATAATTAAAACCAAGCAAGACATAATTTTGCAATAATATTACATTTAAATATTTACATTTTACATTTAAATATTATTCTGTTAATTAATTCAGTCTTTCTATATAATGAACAAGCTTTTAAAAAAGGGTCTACAGGAATCTGATTAAATTAATTCTTACAAAATTCTTGAATACATTAAAATCTAGCATAAAATTCATTAGGTTAGGTTCATTAGGTTCATAAAAAAATAATTGCTAATCAATCAAATCCAAAATGTATGTTATGTACTGCATTGGAATAAGCAGAAATTAAATATTTTTCAAACTATAGGATGTCTTTTAAACATTTATTTTCCTTAAAATATTAAATTTTTCAAAAAAGATTTATATTAAACCAATAAAGCAATAATCAACAAAATCAGATATTAGTTTAAAAAATACAAAACTAAATTTGAAATTAGAATAAAAATTTAACAACTTAAAATAAATTACTAATTTTCTAATCGATGTATAGTTTTAAAATCTATTAGCTATTGACTAAATAATCAATAATATAACTGACCTAATGTTAATAATTCTACTGTTGTTAATAATGCTGCAAACAATTATTGAACGATTTGTTAAATAATACGCTTCATTTTTTATTCAAATTCTTTTGCATGCATGTTTGTTTGGAAATATCCATGAAATTATAAAAAAGAAAAATTAAGATAAAAAGCGCATTTTTAATTTTGCACATTCCGACGAAGAAAATTAGCTTAGTTAGAGAATTTAGCTAAATAAGCTGAAATTAGGAAATCTAGCATTTTTGAGTAACATTTTAATTTCTTTCAATTTGTGCTGTAGTCTATAAATATTCTTTTTTCATTCAAAACAATTAGTACCTGCAGAATTAAATATTTTTTCAATCTTTTTTTAAAATTTTTTTGTCAATTTTTTTTTTGTCAAATTTATTAAAAAAAAATTAATTTTAATCATTTCTTCAAAGCCTATTTCTGAAAGCAAAAATATTAATAGTAAAATATAAGTTGGATTATTGAGTTATGGAAAATTATTTAATAAATAGGAAGCGAAATAATTCTTTTAAAAAAGTTCTAAAATTAATTTTAAATCTTAAAATAATTTTTCCTTCCTAATTTTTGAAGTGCAGAATCAAACATTAAAATACTTGTTAAAATTTTAAAAACTAATTTTATTATTTAATACGAGGTTTTTTTTTATAATGGTCAAAATAGTTAAAGAATAAATAACACTGTCAACAGGGTGGATAATTTTAGGACATTTTTATATCATGCGTTGCATTTACATAACATATTTTAAATAAAATAATATCAAAAAATGTATATTGCTGTAATATTTTATAAATTTTTAATTGTTAGCAAATAACTAAAAGATTATAAAATCGTGTACGAAGAGATCTTGTAAATCAAATATAAAAAAAAACCGTATATCGTGTTCCTAATGTCTGCTAAGAGAGGGCGCTCCCAACCTGCAATGATAAAAGTCTTGGGTTTCTTCAAAGAATTGAAGAATATCAACGTTTTTTTTTCTTTTCTAGTTTTTTATATTTTTTTTTAATTATGTATTTTTTTATTAAAATTTGTTTACAATAGAAGACGTTTTCAATTGGCTAGAATACAAAATTTATAGGAGAGCGAAAAATATTTCTGAAATATGATACATAAATATTAATTGTAAATCGTATCGTTCATTATCATTCATAATTAATTTTTTTTAATGCTCTCCAACCTAATGGCATATCATCTATAATCATAATGATATATTATTTAAATTTAAATATTTTCCACTCAAATTAGAGAATGTAACTAAGAAATGAAGATGTAACTCTCATTAAAAAATTTCCATAATGATAATTGCTTGAAGAACTCATTCACAATAAAATATTTAGAGATGATATAAGGACAAAAATTGGTTTTCACTCATTATTTCTTGCGTTTTCATGAACTTTATACTTCACCAAAATTCGGTTAATTAAACATCACCTTGCAAATCTCACAAGGCAATTTAGCTTAAGTATATAATTCATAAAGGATTGAAATATTAATGTGTTAGCTAACATGTAAATCCTTATTTTTAAAGAAAAAAAAGAGAAGAAAATTTTCTTTTTGCTTAAATACTTTAGAATTAAAGAATTAAAAAATCCGTTATTACTCAAGTTTTCACAGTAGTAATTCAATTGAAAAAAAAAACGCTACATATGTCGCAATATGTACTAAACTTAGTTATAATTATTATTTTAATAAAAGAATATTTTTTCGATGAAAAAATATTAATCCCAAAAGAGTTATTAAGATAATCTACAGATCTTAAAAATTACTACTTAAAAGTTCCCCATCAGTTTGAAAAAAAAAATAAATAAAAATTTAATTTTTTTTTATTATTCAAAATGGCACTGGGTGATAAAGAGTTAACTAACATAATTACGAATGAAATAAATCGTGTCATTCTTTAAAGCTATAAAATAAAAGGCGAACGTGAATATTTAATCAAAAAAATTTTTTTTATGCCTATCGACTAATTTCCGATCTTTTTATTTTGCGGTTATGATTAACATCACTCACAAAACTAAAATTAATCACAATTCTGTGCCTTGGCGAAATTTCTTACTATTGGCGACAACATTTGGCTGTGCTTGTCATTCCAACAACCAAACATAGCTACTTTTATCGACAAGGCAAGTTAATTGCTAGGTATTCCTTTTTTCGTTTCTTTTCTTTTTTTCATTTTTTTTTTCAGACTCCACCCTCAGCCTCCTGTCCATTGGCAGCCTCAAACGGGCCCACTGGGTCCCATTCCGATCGGGGCCCTGCATTATCGAGTCGGATAATGGTTTCACAGCACAGGTGAATACAGAAAATCCGATATCTCAACTGTCTAATGGTCCTTTTTGCAGACGCATATCATTTGCAGAGACAGTTAATATTTTTTTTCTTATATTTTTCATTGACGCACACACGCGATTGGCTAATAGAAGTAATTTAAGTTTGACGTTTAAAGGAAAATTTATTGCTCC